AGAGAGAGAACCCCACCCTTCCTGCTTGGTTTCTGGAAAGATGGGTTCTGCGGAGATGTCAGAGGGCTGCTGACAGGATTCCTGTTTCTTGAACTGAAACCATGTGGCATCAAGTGAAGGTTCAGGAGGAATCTGGAAGGGTTTAGTGCAGTGGTGGCGAACCTATGGCACGTGTACCAGAGTGGGCACTCAGAGCTCTCTCTGCGGGCATGCGCGCCATCGCCCCATCATTCAAAGTGTCTTGCTGCTCTCCTCACCCCATGCCAGTGTAGGCGTGAAATGCTCGCTAGATTGTGCTCCACCCGCAGCAGCGTTGAGGGGGAGTCGCGTGCCCCCTCACGCCGCTGTGAGCATGAAACGTTTCATAGAGCGTGCGTTGGGGGGAGATGCTATTGGTGAGCTGGAGACGCATGTTTGCTGTGCTGACGTGAGTGAGTGTAACTGTTTTTTAGTTGAGTTAGTTATTTTCTGTGTTCCCCCTGAAGAAGCTCCAGATCCCTGCACAATCCGCCCCCAAAAAGCTCAACAACACGGATAAAAACGGTAAATCGCCATGTTGGCACTTTGCAATAAATAAGTGGGTTTGGGGTTGCAGTTTGGGCACTCTAAAAGGTTTCGCCACCACTGGTCTAGTGGATGGGGGTCTGAGCAGGCCCAGGAGCAGAGCTAAAGCAGGTTTCGGTTGACCTGAGGGCCTAGCCTAGCCATAGACATGTTTTGGTGTTAGCTTAATGAACCATACTTAGACCGTTACCTCACCAGTATGCTAGCCTGGCTATTCCAGGAATTTGAAAGCTTGCTTGGATTTTTACACTTGTTGAATCCATAAATTAGAAGGATCCAGCAATTAGAAGACTTCCTCCGCACTGAAAAACCTCATAGCAGTATTTACTCCTTGATGAGATCAAGGAACATTCCATGGGGAAGTTGTGCTCAAGCCTCAAGACACACAAGAGTATACCAAAGTGAGCATTTAAGCCTTTGTTGGTGTATTTATCGACTTTCCTCACTTAGGTTGCAGGAGGTGGAGGAGGAAGGCTCTTAAAACATGCGTGCAAGTTTTTGCATCTGATCAGCTCAGGTTTAGCAAAGTTTGTCTAAATTAACTAGTATACACCCACTGACTTGCAAGATCATTGAAATACATGGGTACATGTTGTTGTTTAGTCGTTTAGTCCTGTCCGACTCTTCGTGACCCCATGGACCAGAGCACGCCAGGCACTTCTGTCTTCCACTGCCTCCGCAGTTTGGTCAAACTCACGCTGGTAGCTTCAAGAACACTATCCAACCATCTCGTCCTCTGTCATCCCCTTCTCCTTGTGCCCTCCATCTTTCCCAACATCAGGGTCTTTTCCAGGGAGTCTTTTCTTCTCATGAGGTGGCCAAAGGATTGGAGCCTCAGCTTCATGATCAGTCATATTTAGGAGTTTGCTATGTCTGCCATTTGATGAAAAGAATGAAAGGCACCTGAACTTTGAATGTATCAATCAAATCAAATGTTTAAAGGCTTTTTTTTTTTTAAAAGAGAAGCATAATCTTGAACTATTACAATGCTGTTCTGCCTTAGAAGAGGTGGTCCTTCCTGTACAATGGAGAAGATGAGATGTCTAAAACAGCAGCAGTCTGTTATTTTTATTACAGGGTGGGGTATTATTATTATTATTATTATTATTATTATTATTATTATTATTATTTTGCAGGGCAGGGAGATTATTCCTAATTATTTTAACTAAACAAAGAGTGCTGCCCAGATTTATTGGGGTTGAGTTTTAATCAATCAAAAGTTTTAAAATTAATTAAGCTGATATATCAACGCAGAGTTGCAGGCCTAGAATTAATGTAGCAATTAACTTACATGCGGAGAGCTCTGCAAGGCATTCAGTCTGACCTCTGTGGAAGTCCAGGCTTGAGAATTAATTCTGCAATTAATTAATTGGCCACAAGCATCACTTTGATCTTGCAGCCCATGTTTTTGGAAGGTTCATCGGAATTAGCATGCAGAGAAAGCATCCCACACAATGCCAGTATTTTCACCGAGCAAGCTGGGGTCAAGGTCGGCTTACTTCAATGACGTATATTGCTTTAAAAGCCTTGATGAAAGGGACCGACAAAGAAGTAAAAACACCATAGCAGGGATCCCTCCCATTAAACATGGCTGGAAGCATCTCTCTGACAGCTGTATGCTAGCTCTGTTCTGGTTTGCAATAATCTCTCCTACACTGATTTAAAGCATAGAGAGCCTTTGTCATAAAGGTTTACCAGAAGCTTTAACTAAGAAAAAGGGTTTTGTGGCAGTATAAGGGTGGTGCTGTGGGTTAAACCACAGAGCCTAGGACTTGCCAATCAGAAGGTCAGCGGTTCGAATCCCTGCAACGGGGTGAGCTCCTGTTGCTCGGTCCCTGCTCCTGCCAACCTAGCAGTTCGAAAGCACGTCAAAAGTCCAAGTAGATAAATAGGTACCTCTCCGGCAGGAAGGTAAAGGGCATTTCCGTGCGCTGCTCTGGTTCTCCAGAAGCAGCTTAGTCATGCTGGCCACATGACCCGGAAGCTGTACGCCGGCTCCCTCAGCCAGTAAAGCGAGATGAGTGCTGCAACCCCAGAGTTGGTCACAACTTGGGGCTAATGGTCAGGGGTCCCTTTACCTTTAAGGAACAACAGAGTTATGGTGACATATTTTGTGGGCTAGAGTCCACCTCATCAAGTGCACTGGGGGCTGATGACACACTTTAGTCCATGAGCACATACACCTTCGTAAGAGTCCTCAGGTCAAAGGCCCATCTAGTCCAGCATCTTCTCACAGTGACCAAAGCCCATAGGAAGCTGTAGACAGCACTTGACTGCAAACAGACTTCTCCCCTCCTGAACTTTCTAGCAGCTGGTATTCAGAGACAGCCGAGGAAGAACATAGACTTCATGACTAGTAGCCATTGATGTCCTTGTCTGCCATACATTTAATTAACCTTATTCCAAAGTCATCCAAGTTGGTGGCTGTCTTCTGAGTGCAAAGTGTCATAAACGTTTCCACAAACTATAAATGCGTTTGGAATGTGCCACAAGACTCTTTTGTGCTGCAAAATAGTGCCAAAGTTACGGAAATGAAGTGGTGGTGAAACCAGCACATCCTGGTCCTACAATATTGGTATCTTTCCACCTCTGCCTGGAGATGTTGAAGACTGAAGCTGTGACATTTGAACTACAGTATGGCCTTCTGGAAAATAGAGACCCTTGGAGGACATGCATTATCTTGGCTGGCCCCTGTATAAATAATGTCTCTAATATGCTACCAATTATGGACCACTGGGGATCCTAGCAAAGGTATATTTGGAAGAGAAAATTACATTAGGTTCTGCGTCTCTGAAGGGAGTTAGTGTATCAAATATACACAAACACACTTATATATATATATATGTATAAAAATAATAATAATACAATCAAATTGCTTTTCTTTCTTTTTTTGTCCTGTTAGATTAAGAGAAGAATAGATTTGGCCAATAATGCAGTTTTACCAATGGCTCTAGAATGATGAGTTTTCAATGAAAATAAATGAGGCTTCATTGCCTGCCTTTCGAAGAGCTTATCTGCTTCATGCTTTTTATTGTCGTCACTGCGGTAGAGCAAATAAATGAGTTTTCTTTTTCTGCTGTCCACGCTTCCATTATGATGCTTGGCTGAAGTGCTGGGGCTGAATGAGGCAGGGGCTCAGTGTCTCGTGGAATGTTCTCGAAGGAAAATATGTTTTAGTTTTCCAGACCCACCACAAGCTGGAAGCCAAAGATAGATAGAGAAAGCACCGTGCAATGTGTTTCTCACTGAGATGTTCCACTTCAGTGTTTAGATGGGGGAAATGGAGGTGCTGATGCTCCCACATATACTGTTTCCTGTACTATAGATAGATAGATAGATAGATAGATAGATAGATAGATGATAGATAGATAGATAGATGATAGATAGATAGATAGATAGATAGATAGATAGATAGATAGATAGATGTCCCATTAAACTTTAATTAGTTTAATGCTAAGCCAATGTCCAGTGCGCTTCCGCCGCCACAATGTCCCATTACAGCAGAGCATTTTGCGCAGCGGTTTAAGAAGGGCTGGAGAGTCAGTATCTTTTCAATAAAGGAATCTTGGAGCAAGCGGTTTGGAACCCAAAGAAAAGGTTTATTTACACACAAAAAACAACCCTGGTGACGAACCACACATATCAGCAAACACGCCCAAAAAAGGAAGGGAACAAACACACGAGTGAGCTGACTATTTATACAAACTCACATTCCTGGAAGCTTAACGACTTCCAGCTGCTCAGTGATTAGAGCGTCTTGATTAGAGCCTCTTAACCCTTTAATACCAACAATAGATAGTTTATGGAACTTACACCAAAAAAAGGGGTAGGTCTAAGTCAAATTCTATTTTAAAGTCTTGTTTTCACTCTGCCATCTTGTTCCCAAAGAGGTTTCGAATCTGTCATAACTTTACGCCAGTTTGGCGCTGTGGGTAAAAGCCTCAGTGCCTAGGGCTTGCCGATCGAAAGGTCGGTGGTTCGAATCCCCGCGGCGGGGTGCGCTCCCGTTGTTCGGTCCCAGCGCCTGCCAACCTAGCAGTTCGAAAGCACCTTCGGGTGCAAGTAGATAAATAGGGACCGCTTACTAGCGGGAAAGTAAATGGCGTTTCCGTGTGCGGCTCTGGCTCACCAGAGCAGCGATGTCACGCTGGCCACGTGACCCGGAAGTGTCTCCGGACAGCGCTGGCCCCCGGCCTCTTGAGTGAGATGGGCGCACAACCCTAGAGTCTGTCAAGACTGGCCCGTACGGGCAGGGGTACCTTTACCTTACCTTTATCTCAAGGTGTTGTAAATTACACCGGCTCCCATAGTTTGGATTGCTGCCCCCCAAGTGTTCGATGCATTCCAAATGCATAAAAGTGCAGGGCCTGATTAATTCTGGATGCCCAGGGTGTAAATCTATCTCATAGTTATTCTGTTTTTGGATTCTGTTTTGCAGGTGATTCAATTCTTTGTGCAGCCTGTGTCCATGAGAACACCGTCTACAGCAGAGTGTTTCAGATTTTGTACAGGAATGAAGAGATTGTCATCAATGAATCCATGAACTTCAGGGCCCACCTCCTCGTGGATGGTGAAAAGGTTTGTTTCTCTCAGTTTCGACTCTTGTTTCTGCCTCTTTTACACACATGCATATACACACAAAGAGTGAATCTGGTTCCACCGGTAAGGTATATTGCAGTTATTAATATTGCAGAATCTGAAGCAACTGGAAGCATGAAAATGGCAACTGCACCGCTTTCCCACACTAGGCCACTGCTGGGTCTCTTGACAACTTTTCTGTGCCTCTCTGAGACCTCTGTCTCTCTATGCCAGGGATAGGCAACCTAAGGCCCAGGGGCCGGATGCGGCCCAATCGCCTTCTCAACCCCCTCCCCGGACAGTCCAGGAATCAGCCTGTTTTTACATGAGTAGAATGTGTGCTTTTGTTTAAAATGCATCTCTGGGTTATTTGTGGGCCATAGGAATTTGTTCATTTTTTCCTCCAAAATATAGTCTGGCCCACCACATGGTCTGAGGGACGATGGAGTGGCCCATGGCTGAAAAAGGTTGCTGACCCCTGCTCTATTCCATTCTTCAAGTTGCCAGTCAGTTGGCTCTCTGGTACAGTCAAACCTCGGTTCCCAAACGCCTCAATTTTGGAATGTTTTGGCTCCCAAACACCGAAAACCCAGAAGTCAATGTTCCTGTTTTCGAACGTTTTTTGAAGCCAAATGTCCAACATGACTTCCCCTTGAGTGCAGGAAGCTCCTGCAGCCAATCGGAAGCCACACCTCGGTTGTCGAACATTTTGGAAGCCAAATGGGCTGCTTAAATGGATTATCTTCAATAACCAAGATTTGACTGTACTTGTGTTTCCTGAGTCGCACTTCAGCAGGAATGCTGATAGATACTTGCTGATGGGAGCTGAGCATGTTACGCATCTGAGGTAAATTCATGCTGATTTAGCAGGGCCCCTTGATAGAACTGTCACACTCATGCTGCATTGCATCACATTGGTTCTCAGAACACACACACACACACACACACAATTTCCTATGTGTTATGAGGCCTTGCTTGTAATGACAGTTCTCTTTTTCAATAACCTCTACAGGTGGAAGAGGCACTAAGAGAAGCAGACTTTCAGCTCAAGCTGGACTTGCATTTTACGGACAGTGAGCAACAGTGAGCACTTTTTGCTTTCCTAATGCAAACTGATCATTGTGGATTCTGATGCAAACTGGCCCAAATCAGGACTAACCCGCAGATAGAAATGTAGCTGTTCTTTGAATTCCCTCCGAAGGTTGCCACTCTGTCATTAGCTAAAAACAAACCAATAAACAAAAAACATGCATACGGTGGCCCTGGGTGACATCCACTCTGTGTGATCTGCCTTGTGGCTGCAGTCAGTGATTTCAGCTCAGCTGTGGCGGCAGTTCCCCAGCAGTGATTTCAGCTTGTGGAGGCTAGCCAGGGCTACATACCTAGCCTAGCATCCCACCTTCATCACTAGTGAAGGGTAGGTGGGTTCCCACGAGGCAAGACACAGTGATAACAGCAAGAACCATTATTGAACTAACAGAACTGAGCAACAGGGGCAAAACAATTGCATATATACATTTCTGAAGTACTAGGCCACTCCCATTCCCAACGTGATTGGCTATCTAAACTTCCAAGCTGCGAATCATGACTCAGAGTTCAAGGGCCAATGACAGAGGCCCAAATCCTGAAATGTTCTGTGATTGGATATCACGTATCGAATCAGAACACAGGAACTCAGAATCCTTAGTCCAGACTCAAGCTCAGGCAAACACAGACCGGTGAATACATAACAATAAGATATGTTTTTAAAAGTGTTTTGAGATAAAATACATTTAGACATCAATATTTTGTGATAAAAGATATGCAGAATAGTATTTAAAAGTGAGTTTTCATGATATTATTCATTTTTAAAAAAATAATCATGTGAAAACGGCAAAGAAATAGACTACTAAGTCAATTGCTAGTGCCGTCTAGTATTTGGGGTCATCAACGTGGCTTCCTTAACCCTACTGTCCTCTAAAATTAGGCTTGGAAGAAGCAAATAGAATAAGTAAGAGTGTTGTGGCATTTCTGATATGCTCTTGGCAGCTTCCATGGTTTGCAAATGTACCCTCAGTTCCGAAACTTTGGCAGCCTCTGATATCAATAGCCATTTCCCACACCAATCATCTAAACCTCCCTCTTTCATGGAGCAAGCCTAAGTTTCTTCCTTGAGAAGTTCCCTAGAATTCATCTCTAGTAAGTGTGTTTAGGGTTGCATTCCTAGACTTTCAAAAGTTAATCTTCCCTACAGAGGGTCTGCCTCCTTTAGTGCTGCCATGTCCATTGCCCAGATAGATTGTAGGACATGGAAACACATGAGGAAAAACATTTCCACTTCCCTGAATTGAAGGTAGATTTCTTCCCCCTTCCTACTGGAATCTGTGGGTCCCAGCAGGCTAGATTTGAAAGTGAGTGGTATTCTACCCCACTCCAATTCCTGGGCTCCCCGGTTATTGATGGTCTTACTGTTATTTCTTAATTATTGTGTTTTCTGGTTTAAAATGTATTCTGTTTTCACATAGCTCTTATATAGTCTTTTATTGTGCTGGTTTCCTATTTGAGGTTTTATGTGCTGGCTTTTTCTAACACCTTTTGTGGCTTTATTGTCATATTTTTATTTTGTTTTTGCCTGATGCCAGGAGAATTTATTTCATGAAGAATCTCATAAACACAATAAAGTGATAATGTTGCTTGAAGCTGCCTTAGAAGCCAGAGTTGTTGTTTTTTTAATTTATTTTTTATTTCTCTTTTTAAGTCACTTTGTGTTGCTCTGGGTTAAGATAAAGAAACTAACTCGTAATGATGATGATGGTTTAATCTAAGCAATCTTGTAGTTTCCCCAAGGATTACTGAATGTATCAACTATTCTATAATGGGCTATATTGAGAAAATAGAATTTACTAAGGCTCCCTGCACCATGCATGCTATGGGGGTCATAATCTTTGCTTCTAACATTATGTTCTACGTATGTTCCACCCATGTTCTACCGTCACTGTCAGAAGCATTCTGTCTCCGAATACCAGTTGCTGGTAATCTCAGATGGACAGAGAGTTGTTCCACTCATGTTAAGCTTTCAGGCTTCTTACAGGTATTTTTTGGGCCACTGTGAACAAAGGATGCTGGACTAGACAGGTCTTGGCTGGATCCAGCAAACTCATCTCATGTTAAGTCCCGTATGGCGGCAAATCTGGGCTACCCAACACCAACTGGCCTCAAAGGTTCCCATGGTGCCATAATTTGAACGTTTGAAATGAGATTTTTAAAAAGTCCCTCAGTGAAATATTTGCACCTGATATTGCACAAAATCCCTCTTTAGAAGCTTCAGCAGGTTTTTCAAAAGTCATGTTTTGAACTTTGAACTTCACACCCCCAGTTTAACATTTCTATTCAGTTAAGAATAAGAGGGAAGATTCCAATAGTGAGAACAGGATCATAAATGGCCTGATTCAGTAAGACTCTTCTTACCATTATTATTATTATTATTATTATTATTATTATTATTATGATGAGGAAATATGAGCTTCTGTGACATCATTAGTACCAAATGAATGTGTGACTGGGATATATTTTTTATTGCACTGGGCACTCAGATATTTAGACACACATTCTCCTGAACAGCACGGACATGGGTATAAAATGGATTGTCCTTTTTTGTCCTAGCTCTTCCTTCACCTCTTACACAGCCTTCTCAAAAGTCTTAATGGCTTGTGTCAGCAGCTTCTCCTAAAATGACAAAAGCAGATTTAAGACCCAATCACTGGCTCTTTTTTTTAAAAGGATCTGTGAATGGTGCAATGCAAGTCACTTTGGGTTTTTCGCAGCAATGTCATAATATTGACACTGCTGCTACAAGTACAATTAAGAGCTAAGCACCAGCCTTGTAAATGCTCCTCGTTGCCAAGTGAATTGCTGCCAAGTGATAAAAATTCCACTCACACCATTGTCTCTGGGGCTGCATCCATGCAGCAGATTGAGCCAGCAGAAGGCTCTTCTCAATTAGCTACCAGGCTAAGTTGAAGGTGGTAGTACAAAGCCCTGTACAGTTTGCATTGGGATACCTTGAAGACCAGCTTATTCCTTATTGTTGTTGTTTAGTCATGTCCGACTCTTCGTGACCCCCTGGACCAGAGCACGCCAGGCACTCCTGTCTTCCACTGCCTCCCGCAGCTTGGTCAAACTCATGTTCATAGCTTCGAGAACACTATCCAACCATCTCGTCCTCTGTCGTCCCCTTCTCCTTGTGCCCTCCATCTTTCCCAACATCAAGGTCTTTTCCAGGGAGTCTTCTCTTCTCATGAGGTGGCTAAAGTATCGGAGCCTCAGCTTCATGATCTGTCCTTCCAGTGAGCACTCAGGGCTGATTTCCTTCAGAATGGATAGGTTTGACGTTCTTGCAGTCTATGGGATTCTCAAGAGTCTCCTCCAGCACCAGAATTCAAAAGCATCCATTCTTCGGCAATCAGCCTTCTTTCTTTATGGTCCGGCTCTCACTTCCATACATCACTACTGGGAAAACCATAGCTTTAACTATACGGATCTCTGTCAGCAAGGTGATGTCTCTCTTATTCCTTATAGGCCCAACCAATCACTGTGCTCCGTAGGAGAGAGCCTCCTGCGGCTACCATCTCATCAGAAAGTCCATTCCACCCAATGTGAGAACAGGGCTTTTATTGTGGTGGCACCTATGCTTTGGAACAACCACCCTCTCCAGTACACATCAGGAAGCTGTCATCTCTGTTGATTTGTACTGCATTTTTTTAAAAAAGAGTTTTGTTTTATTGCTTGTGCATTTACTGCCCGGGGCTCCATTGGGAGGAAGCGGGTTATTAAATAAATAAATAAACAAATGCAATTATTTTACCTGTTCCCTCCCCCCCCCTATATTTATTTGTTTCAAAGGTGTTTTATATGCAATTGTATTAACTTTTATTGTAGACAGACAGACAGATAGATAGATGTGCAACAGTGCTTTATAGGCTTTTCTTCCCTTGAGAAGGCAATTTGAGGTCCTTCATACAAAGCCGTCCATAAATGAAATTGTTATTGACAACAACGACCATTGCTTCTCCTTCCAGGCTGAGAGATGTCACGTCAATCCCTGTGATCAGCAGCCGCACTTTGGGGCTCCACTTCCACCCGGGGCGAGGGCTGCATCATCATGTGCCCGTCATGTTTGACTACTTCCACCTGTCAGCCATCTCTGTTACCCTGCATGCTTCTCTGGTGGCTCTGCACCAGCCCCTGATCAGGTGAGAGAAACAGGGTTCTTGTTGTTTTCATTTTCTGTATGTGTATTTCATGATCTTTGCTATGAGAGGTAAATTGTTCATATGTCATGTTATGTACTGAGCTTGGATCCTAGAACAATAGGCAGGTAGGAACCTAGAAGGCAGCAACCTGATTGGTCTGCAGGAACTGCCCAATCCGGCTCCAGGAGGAAGTGAATCAGCAACCTGATTGGCCTGCAGGAACATTCCAATCAGGTTCCAGGAGGGGAGTTGAATCAGCCAATCACACGGGACTCATTGTGTAAATAATGTATATATAACCAGAGGTTTTTTGGGAAAGTACTCACTCACTGTTAACCATGAGCTGAAATAAAGAGCATGAAATCAACACTCAACTCCGAGTATATTTCATCTCATTTGCTTTTTTTAAAAAAAGCTTACATAAAATAAAAACAATGTCAGCAACAGAACTACTAAAAATAGAGACTTGGCAGAATTATTATTATTATTTATTAAGGTAAAGGTACCCCTGCCCGTACGGGCCAGTCTTGCCAGACTCTGGGGTTGTGCGCCCATCTCACTCAAGAGGCCGGGGGCCAGCGCTGTCCGGAGACACTTCCGGGTCACGTGGCCAGCGTGACATCGCTGCTCTGGTGAGCCAGAGCCGCACACGGAAACGCCGTTTGCCTTCCCGCCAGTAAGCGGTCCCTATTTATCTACTTGCACCCGGGGGTGCTTTCGAACTGCTAGGTTGGCAGGCGCTGGGACCGAGCAACGGGAGCGCACCCCGCCACGGGGATTCGAACTGCCGACCTTTCGATCGGCAAGCCCTAGGCGCTGAGGCTTTTACCCACAGCGCCACCCGCGTCCCTATTATTATTTATTAAATTTATATAAATGTATAATGTGTTGCTGTAATCTAACCACAGTTGCTGACCAAGATTTGCCTTTTATAATCAGCTATGTGGTGATGGCAGGGATGCGGGTGGCATTGTGGGTTAAACCACAAAGCCTAGGATTTGACAATCAGAAGGTTGGCGGTTCGAATCCCCACAATGGGGTGAGCTCCCGTTGTTCTGTCCCTGCTCCTGCCAACCTAGCAGTTTGAAAGCACACCAGTGCAAGTAGATAAATAGGTACCGCTCTGGCGGGAAGGTAAATGGCGTTTCCGTGCAGTGCTCTGGTTTGCCAGAAGCGGCTTAGTCATGCTGGCCACATGACGCAGAAGCTGTACGCCAGCTCCCTCGGCCAATAAAGCGAGATAAGCACCGCAACCCCAGAGCCGGTCACGACTGGACCTAATGGTCAGGGGTCCCCTTACCTTTATGTGGTGATGGCACTATCCACACTAGGAAATGGACAACACTCTGTCCTATTTTAGGGTTGCCATTTTTCTAGAAGTAAAATTCAAAAGTAGTTGAGCTTTTTTTTTTAAAAAAAAAAAGCAATCAACTTCAAAATCCCGGACACTATTTTCCTGGTTATATCCAGACATATAGCAACCCCAGACATATAGCAACCCCAGACATATAGCAACCCCATCTTATTTAAGTCTAGTTGTTGGATGTGGCTTTACCAAGCATTTTGCCACCCTATGGACCTCTCATGGAGGAGGCCCACAAAGAAAGACCTTAGATGATGACTGCAGGGTCTGGGTCAGTCCACATGGGAGGTTCTTCTGAGGTCCAGCTCAATGCATTTTGTAGCCTAAGGCGAAGGTGACCATGGTGTCCCCTCCCTTCCGTGCACAGAATCTTGACAGGGCTAACTCTTACTTCCACACTAATCATGTAAGAATCATCCTCCACAAAGAGGAGCAGGCTAGCTTAGGGGCCATGTAACACACTCCTGGCTGCTGGTCCCTATCCTCAGCACACAATGCCTGAGGCAGTGGCCTCACCCTGTCTATTGGTAGGGCTGGTAAAGAAATAAATAAAATTAAAGCGGATCCTGCAAGCCTCAAGTCTGCTTGCCTGTGATCTAATGTTTCCTTATTGTCTCTTGCCTGCTCACACACAGACTTGTTGTTTTTAATATTTGATCTAAATCTAGCTCCCCCCCCTAATTTGTAACCACTGTCTCTTGTCTTACCCTGAGCAAAGAGGGAGAACAGTAATCTCTTTGCTTCTTTCTGAACTCCTTTAACAATTGCCATATGTTGTTGATGACAAAGAGAGAAGAAAAGCTTACCTATTCCTGGGAAACTTGTTTGCTGCTACTGATCCTGTTAGTGGAGAATTTTTAACAAGCTTTGAAAAAGCCTGAAGGCTTCCCAGAGCACCACAGACCGAGACGAACCTTTGCTATGTCTCCCAGCTCTCCAAGAACTGTTGTTTTAAAATAGCAACACATGGATATATTTTTTAATGTATTTTTAGTGCAGAGAGGAAAGGATGGGTGAGAAAACTTTGAAATGTGTAATACTGTTGTTCCATATAGATATAGGTATTCCATTTTTTCTTCTTTGTTTAGCTTTGCCCGTCCAGGGAAGGGCTCGTGGCTTGGTAAAAACAGCTTGGAAACAGGACCAGATCTGACGGGGATGTCGCTGGAAAACCTGGTGTTTGGAGCCGGTTACTGCAAACCTGTTGCTTCTGAGGTAGGGGACAGTTCTTGTTCGTGGTGACATTAGATGCACAGTGTAAAGTGTTACTGGAAAAATCCGAGGGCTCCCTTGGACAAAACAAAGACACCAACCAGGATAACTTGGAGCAAAACAGCAGCCTGTAGGCTTGGCCTTTATTGAACTGTTGCAACAGGGTGTTCCCCTCACTTGCAAGAGAGAGGAAAGACCCAGAAAGATGGTGTGCAAGAGCTTATAAAAACTTTTGAAATTCCCCTCCTGTAGCTCAAGCCCACCCCCAGAAACATCATGCATACATCACAGAAAGGAGGGGTTGAGGGAGGAGTTGTGGTGGTAACCCGAGTGTCCTGTCACCTGGCTGGTTCCTCCTTTCCCCCTCCCCATGAGTCACTTCCAGGAGACAAAGGGGAGTTGGCAGTTTCCTGCCCCCAGAGGGAAGATCTGATCATTGTCCTTTGTTTCAGTCCATGCTGAATCCACTCCCATATGCAAGTTCTTTGTGATCTTCATTGTCTTCTGTCTAGGACCATCAGGGTTGGCACAGCAACTGGGCAGGGCTCCTGTGGATGTGCTGGGATGGTGAAGGGATTATGGCTGACCAGAACCAAGCCACCCCCCTTTGATAGTCCTTGTCATATGGAGTAAAATAAAAATGGAACAGTGCAAATCCAATGTATGGTTGATTTTTCTATGGATTATAACAGAAGTGTGGTGTATGTAGTGTGTGAGTGTGAGTGTGTGTGAAGTTTGTACAAACTGAATGATTGGGGTGGGTGGTTCCTGCTACAAAAGGGATGGAGATGGGCCTTTCTTAGGCAGGATCACCAGGCTGATAAGAGAGAGGTGAGTTTATATTATCCCTACTCCCACCGATAAAATCTGTGATGAATTTTGCCCACTGGGAATGGAAATGCAGGAAGCAAGGAGAATATCTGCAGGTAGAGGCAGAGCCAACTGCTTCTAGACTTGCCCTCAACCCCCTCTTCTCTGCTGAATTCTATATGGGCAACATTGAGGTTACGGAAGAGGAAACTGGCCTTCTAAGGCAGAAAACTGTTTACAAAATCATTCCCTTGTAACCATTTTGTCAAAAAAGGACCGATAATGCCAAATGTTACTCGAGGAAACAACAGCGGTATTAATATATTCCTAGTCATGCTTCTTGAAACTCCTACTCTGTTGGGGTGGTGTTGTCGATCCTGTCTGTTATACAAAGTGCTCACCCCTTAACCTAGAAGAAGAAGAAGAAGAAGAAGAAGAAGAGGAGGAGGAGGAGGAGGAGGAAGGAGGAGGAGGAGGAGGAGGAGGAAGAGGAAGAGTTTGAATTTGATATCCTGCTTTATCACTACCCGAAGGAGTCTCAAAGCGGCTAACATTCTCCTTTCCCTTCCTCCCCCACAACGAATGCTCTGTGAGGTGGGCGAGGCTGAGAGACTTCAGTGTGACTAGCCCAAGGTCACCCAGCAGTTGCATGTGGAGGAGCGGGGAAGTGAACCTGTTCACCAGATTATGAGACTACCGCTCTTAACCACTACACCACACTGGCTACACTGAAACCGTCTACAGATGAGCAGATCTGAGACGCCAGTTTCTCAAATCCCAAAAGGCTAGTAGAAGAAACACAGCATGCAGATAATTTACTTACCTTGCCTTTAGTACTGACTAGCAAGGGAAAAGGCAGTGTTTTATGAAGCAAAATACTCTTCCTGTATCATCAGAACAGTGGTGCTATTTTAAACAGTGACAGCATTCCAGGGTGGAAAATTTCCTCCAAATACGAATGTGGAATCCCAGAATTGTAGAATTGGAAGGGACCCAAAGGTTCAACTCCCAGTTAGGTGTTCCATTATTGCCCCTTTTCCTGTCTTGGCTGCAGCTCGCTCCTTGCATTCTTTCATCCAGCCGTCGGCAACCTAAGGCCCATGGGCCACAAGTGGCCCATGCAGGTTGTTTAACCAGCCCATGGACCCCCGCTGCCCGCTCAGGGACCCCCACCGGTCACTCGGTCGGCTCCCATGTGCTGTGCTAAACTGGCGCAGAGCAGAGTGGGGACCGCCTTCCGTGACGCTGGCCGCCTTCGCACGCCTCCTCCGCACCGGAAGGAGCACCGGAAATAGCGTTTGCACATGTGTGCGTGTACGCGCACTCTGGCCCACTGCGACGTCTGCGGGACCGTGAACCGGCCCAAGCCACAAAAACTTTGCTGACCCCTGCTGTAGTCTGTTATCACCAGATTGAGCACTGCTTTCCTTTTGTGTGAAAACAGAGGCAAAGGAGGTGTTGCGTGGTTCCATCTTGTCTTCGTCGTAGCATTTCTCTGCCTTCTTCACGCAGAGCTCCTGCAACTTGCTTGGTCTTCCTGTTGCTTCAAAGATAGCTGACGAACAGGTCGGCTACGCCAGATCAATTTTGATTTCCCCCAGTTTCCATTGCTTATTCGTTTGATTTCCTTTCAAGCCCACGGCTGAGAGCGCTCCAGCGATGATCTGTTTTGTTTTTCAGCTTGCTGAGACAGTGTCGATTACAGCGATAATTGAGATAATGAGCTTGTTTATCAACAGTAGATAGCTTGCTTGGTTAATGTTTATTGCAGCTTTTCTTTCCCCCGTTTTATGAGCTTAGGAGAAAGTGGTGCTAAATGCAGTTTGCTGACTTTGGAGATAGCAATGCAGAGAGTGTCAATGTGGAAGAGAAGTCCATGCAGCCCACGATTTAAAGCAAGCTGTCCAAATTCTCAGTTCCCTGCCTTATATGTGGGTTGGAAATCAATGAACACTTGGGGTTGTCGCCAACTAAGTCCTACTCAAAATAGACCCAACGAAATTAATTGACCTAATTTAATCATATTCATTAATTCCATTGGGTCTACTCTGAGTAGGACGCGCACTGGACACCACCCTCAGATTGCACAGAGAACTGTATGATGCATACAAAATTTTATACGTATTTTTTAAACAACAACAAACAAACAAACAAACATGGGCTTGCAAAGCCACACAACCAAGCTGAATGGGATCAGGATACAGCCTAAGTTCCCCCTTTCTGCTCCCTCCCCTGCCACTTCCCCAGAATGCTCCTTTTGGGGGAGTTACAGCCACATTCAACTGAGCTCAACTGAGCTGGTATGAGAAATTTACCCTGGCATATTCAGCTGCATTGGCGTTCGGGACTGAGCATGTCTGAGCTGGGAATCAGTTGGTTGAGCCAGAGAACCTGCAGCATCCATCATATTGTAAATTGCCCGGTGATCCTCAGATGAAGGTCGGTATAGAAATTTAATAAACAAATACAGTGGTACCTCGGGTTACATACGCTTCAGGTTACAGACTCACTAACCCAGAAATAGTGCTTCAGGTTAAGAACTTTGCTTCAGGATGAGAACAGACATTGTGCTTCGGCGGCGCAGGAGGCCCCATTAGCTAAAGTGGTGCTTCAGGTTAAGAACAGTTTCAGGTTAAGAACGGAGCTCCGGAACGAATTAAGTACTTAACCCGAGGTACCACTGTAATGAAGGATGCGGGTGGCGCTGTGGGTTAAACCACAGAGCCTAGGACTTGCCAATCAGAAGGTTGGCGGTTTGAATCCCCTTGACGGCGTGAGCTCCCGTTGCTCGGTCCCTGCCAACCTAGCAGTTCGAAAGCACGTCAAAGTGCAAATAGATAAATAGGTACCACTCCGGTGGGAAGGTAAATGGCGTTTCTGTGTGCTGCTCTGGTTCACCAGAAGTGGCTTAGTCATGCTGGCCACATGACCCGGAAGCTGTACGCCGGCTCCCTTGGCCAATAAAGCGAGATGAGCGCCCCAACCCCAGAGTCAGTCACGACTGGACCTAATGGTCAGGGGTCCCTTTACCTTTACTTACCACTGTAATAAAACAAATAATCCTAAACTGCTCGTCATGCCATACGATTGCCTGCAACATGTTTTACATGATTACCACCTAAAATTCTGAAGTACATTCCCATCCTCTTTTTTTAAAAAAAGATAGAATAATGGGAAATGTAGCTTATTCCTCACAGAACCCCCCTACAGGTCCTTTGGAGGGGTGTACTTTAAATGTGCTTTAAATCTATGGTGTGTGGGAAGTCTGAGATGCATTACTCATTCTGCATCACAAAGCTGTTTATTTTAACACCCTCTGTTGTGTTTTGGGTCAGTTGAGGGTAATGTGCTTGAAGAAGCTTCAATTTATCTGTAGAACATTCTGCGGGCACTTTGTTGTAGACATGTGCTCTGGCTGATGCTTAGATGCATATTTAGGCCATCTATTTCCGATCAGAGCATATTTTTGACATGATTACTGGGCAGCATGGATGCTGGTGCATCTGCCTCATACTGTGTAGGAAAACCCTATGGCTTACTATGAGGAAGAACATCCCCTGGCCAGGTAAGGGACAATGACACAGTTGGAACGTTTCAGACATTCTCCTTCTCCAAATTCCCTTGTGGAATTTTGAGTGCCAAATTGTTCTCATTGTGGAAATGTTCAGGGAGGCAGGAGAGGATATATTGTTTAATTATATCCTTTCCAACTTGTGTTAACAAGTTCTACAATTTAGCAGAGTAACATTCCCCTTTTTAAACGTACACAGCGGATAACGTTTTTGCTAGGCTTGTTTAAGCCTCTAAAATAAGTTTCCTGGTAATTCCCCTTTTATTCCCTCCTAAAAAGATAGACACAACACAGTCTTGTATAAAAGTATAAAATAGTTTATTCACAGTTTCATTCAGTTCACAAAAGGATCCCTGAAGGCAGACTTAAGTTACAAAATATATACGCCTGGAATCTATCACATAAGGAGATAGTTCCTTTGTCCTTTCTTGGCTGGAAGCCAAGAGGGCATCTCAGGCTGTTGCTTCTTTGACGAAAGCAAAATGGAGAAGAGAGAGATGTGGTGGCCAGTCCTGTGCTTTTGTTACCTGCACAGGTAAAGTCACGCCCACCTCTGGTCACATGTCGAGGAAGTTTGTCCCAGCACAGGAGGAAACAGGAAGTTTATCTACTGGCTGGACAA